TCCAGCAGTGTAAGGTTACACCTCAGTGTGCACTTGTTAGTTCACTATAACACCTTCAGGGTCTGCATTGAGCAGCCTGATGTCTTTTTATCTCTGTGTAATTTTGTCTTTCAGTGTTTTAATCTTAGTCAATATGGGTAATGATAAAGACTATAGAATACCCAAGATGTGTCAATTGTATAGTTTTGAATGGGGAAAAATGCAACGCTCAATATGGCCGCTCAATCGCAGGAAGCCCCGCCTTCTGAATGAAAGAACCAGTCGCTAATCGGTAAAGTTAATGTTCTAATGATTTTTGGCATAAAAGAAAAATCTATCATTTTGACCCATACAATATATTTTTGGCTATTGCTACAAATATACCCCAGCGATTTAAGACTAGTTTTGTGGTCCAGGGTCACTTATGGTTAAAAAAAAATCAATCAGTAACTTTACAAAATCTGTCAATACAATTGGCTTTAAAAGTGACTTTTTTTAAATTTTCTAATATTTCAGCTTAACTTGCACAAGTTTAACTAGTCTTTTTTTAACTTGTTTTTCAATACAACATAATAATAAAAAAATAAAACTACAAGAATGCTAATTTTTTTGTCTAATTTTCCAGTTAAAATATCTAAAAATCCTTGAAGATAAATGTACTTGAGATGCAGTACTGAAAGATGTTAAAGGGGTCATATGATGCTGCTAAAAAGAACATTATTTGGTGTATTTGGTGTAATGAAATGTGTTTATGCGGTTTAAAGTTCAAAAAACACATTATTTTCCACATACTGTACATTATTGTTTCTCCTCTATGCCCCGCCTTTCTGAAACGCGTCGATTTTTACAAAGCTCATCAGTCTGAAAAAGCGAGGTGTGCTCTGATTGGCCAGCTATCCAATGCGTTGTGAATGGCCGAATACCTCAAGCGTGAGACAGAAATGTTACGCCCCTCACCATATTGTGATGCCCTGTCAGGCCAGAGCGATGATTCAAAAACATGAAAACCCATAATAAATGAGGCATTCGTTGCATCCAGTGGGGACATAATTACGGATTATAATGACTTATACTGTCTTTTCACGCGTTGCGTAGGCATGACGAAGCGGATATCGTCCTCTTTTGTAAGACCAAACAAAGTAGTTTCGCTTTCACAACGAAACACAACGTCACACACGGCGGCCTTGAGTGAGCGGCGGCGGCCTAGAGTGAGCAGAGGCCGGGGGCTAGAGTGAGGAATGGCTGGAGGGCTAGAGTGAGCAGAGGCGGTGGGCTTGAGAACGGCGCGGCCGGCGGATTCGACGAAGGAGCAGCAACCACATGTGGCGACCCCGGACTGGACTCAGCTTCATCCACGGTGAAAGCCGATCCGGCGATCCACAGCACTAAGTTGATGTATTCCCTCAGCGACCAGCACAGATCAGCTCTAGGCATGACGAAGCGGATTTCGTCCTCTTTTGGAAGACCAAACAAAGTAGTTTCGCTTTCACAACGAAACACAGCACCTTCACGACATGGCGACGGCAACAATACTACAGCGAGAATAAAAGTTATGCCGCCTTTCTTTGCGTGAACATTTGGGCGGCGTTATGCAAATCTTCCCACATAGTGAAGTAGATATGTGGGGGCGTGTTAGAACGAGCCGTTTTAGGTAGGCGTGGTTAACTCTTAACTTTTATAAAGAATATCTCTTTGGATTTGAGACTTTAGTCTTTGCAACTTTACAGATCTTCTTTATGCACCAAGAGCATGTAACACTCCAAAGAGAAAGGAAAAATTGAAATCGCATCATATGACCCCTTTAAGATTCAGTGTTGGAGATTATATCATCAATATAATTATATTTCATCTTATTGCTCCAGCACAGTTTTTTTCCACTTTTTTCACAAAATACATTTTTCTTGTTTCAAGCATTTATTTTTTTTGTATTTTAACTGGAAAATTAGACTAAAATATTAATGAAAAATAGGATTTTTGCAGTGTATAGATGAAGTTTACTATGATGTTTAAAGGGAAATTCTACCCAAAAATGTTGTTTCAAACGGTTTAATTCGCATCAAAATCTCTTCCACAGAAGAATGTCAGTCACATAGGTTTTTGTATGACATGAGGGTGAGTAAATAATGACAGCAGTTTCATTTTTGAATTAAATATCCCTTTAAGTTTCAATCAGTGGGGCATTTTTTTCCTGGGGTCGTCCAAAGTTGACACCATGGTTTGAAATGACTTTTTTAAAATGTATTTATATGGCACAACTTCATTTTACCTCTTAATTGTTTATTCACATTTAACATCATGAAAATGTCGCATTATGAAAGTACATTTCATTGCACATGTCCTTTGATGTTGACTTTAAATTCAGATATCACATCGGTTTGCAAATCCCAACTGTATTTATCAGTTTCTTATCTGCTTGTTGTTCATTTGAAGTGAAGATGAAACATGCGTCAATAAGAGAATGACAGGAAGAGACGAGAAATGTGTTTTTGATTTCCACATTTCCTCAGGATGCCTTGTTCTCTGGCGAGTTGAAAGGCCTATTTAGTCTCTCGGCTCTCTTCCTCTCAGAATCTGCATTAGTCTCCAAGGCTTCCATCAGCTCTGAGACAAATCATAAAATCACTACCTGGCTCTTTTGTGGGCTACTTGCTTTGCTTCCCTTCATCTCGCCTCAAGAGTTTGGACCAAAGAAGCCTGAAAGCAACCTGAGTGGAAACAAATCTGCCAAGAGGGGACAAAGACATAAAATAATGCAGTTGAAGAGGGATTGTTTGGATCTTCAACACCCGCTCATGATTGGAAATTGAACTTAAAGTGCTCTGCGGGTCCTCATTATGGAGAAATTCTCTCCTAAATCTGTCGCCGCCTTGTAATATTTGGGGAGCCCTGGAGACTTTTTAAAGTGGCTCAGTTTGCGCTTAGATATGAGAGCTTTACGATATTTAGGAGTCTTTGGCCTTTACCTGAATTCATTTGTCCTGATTGCTGCAACCTTGAAGAAACGTACATGAACTTACAGTGCAGTTTTAACTGCTGATTCAGTAAAAAATAAAAAAAATAAAAAAATAAAACTCTCAGACTTCAGTAATTGGACCGGCACAGCACACTTTACCATGTGAAATTAGAGTTGAATGTAGCAATACGAAACTGCTCATTAAAACACTCTCTTCAATGACACCTGTGACCATGTGCACCCAGACACTGGTCATTATTTTCAGGTTTTCTCTTCATGCACGAGTCTTTGGCTGTCGGGAAGGATGCGTGCATCATCACATTTCTTCCCCATCCTTTCATTATGCTCCGTCAAATCACTCTTCGTTAAAGCCTTTTGTTATCCTGCTCTTCTAATTGGCTGACTGACGGCGGCCATGATTTTGTCAAGTAGGACGTGTTGCTGGAACACCATGTTTTGTTGGTCCTAGAGCTGAATTTTAAGAACTACCCCTAAAATTAGAGACAATCATTGGCTGATTAAAAATGAAGTTGTAACCCTATTCTGATCGTTAATAGCCATAAAATCAGAGAGAAATTATGCATAAAACATGTTGTTCAATCCCTATGTTTTAACCCATATGTATCTCTCTCTCTCTCTGTCTATGTATGTCTATATA